CTCTGGGGCACGCTCCTAGGAACAGAGTGCCTGTCTACGACCCTTCCCTGGGACACTCTGGTTTATAGTTTAATTCTTTGGAGACATGTAGCAGGTAAAGTAAAAAAACAGATTTTACATAGGAACGTATTAAATACATACTTTTTACGCTTAGTAAGCACAGGAGAGTTAAAGATCTATGCGAACAATAAACACCTGAACGCAATCCTGCCCTCAGAGCTGCAGAGTCCTCCCCTCTCCTGAGCATTTTGAGGGCTGGTCCATTTCCTTAGCAGAAGGCGAAGTCCCTCCTGCCCCCACTCCTCCAGCTGTGTCTTGTGTGTCTCGCAATGGACTGGCTCCCTTGCTTAGAGAGACTGTATCGTAAAAAAAAAAAAAAAAAAACCAGTCTGTGACACCTTTGCTCTTATGCTGGATAATTTCCATGCTTCAACCCCTTCCCCCCGTCCCCCGGTTGGTTGCTGGTCTAAGAGTTATTAAAGTCAATGGCTCTGCCCTTAGCAACCACATTGCTCCATCTGGGTAGGACTGACTGTTCAAGGTTGATGTCCCCTTCGTGGCTGTGTTTCAGTTTCCCAGATATAGTCTGTTTCCATTACAAAGTGGAGAGTCTAATCCACACATTTACACTCAAATGATACTTCACAGAACAAAAAAGGAATTTCATAAATTGACACAAACATATTCCCCAAATTGTCACAAATAATACATATACACAGGGTCGATGCAAGGAAGTTTTGCGCCCTAGGCGAAATCCCCGCCCCGCCCGCCCTGAGGCGCCCCCCCCGCGGCAGCTCCCCCCCCGCCCTGAGGCGCCCCCCCCGCCCCCCGTGGCAGCTCCCCCCGGCCCGGGGAGCCGTGCGGCAGCTCCCCACCCCAGCTCACCTCTGCTCCGCCTCCTCCCCAAGCACGCCGCCCCCGCTCTAATTCTCCTCTCCTCCCAGGCTTGCAGTGCCAAACAGCTGATTGGCGCTGCAAGCCTGGGAGGCGGGAGAAGTGGAGCGGTGACTGCGCGCTCGGGGAGGGGGCGTAGGAACGCTGTAAAAAAAATTGGGGGCACCGCTTTTTGGTGCCCCCAAATCTTGGCGCCCTAGGCAACCGCCTAGTTTGCCTTAATGATAGCACTGGCCCTGCATATACACACAAACACACACACTAGTTGGTAACCTTGGAATTCACAAGCTAGTAGAGTGCCCCCTCTCCACTACATGTTTCCTTTATTCTGTTTTACTTTTTCCTCCTCTTCTTCTCTCTTTCCCAGAAATAGACTTGTGACAATTCCTGGTGACCCTGGTAACACTAAGTATGAAGCTGAGCTTTCCCATCTCCTGCAGGACCTTTTTCTGTACTTCTGATTGCATTTTTTCCACCTTTGTATTTGTAGGCACCCTGTCAGTGTATCATTTCTGGCAGCAGCTAGGTTGGCTATTTATAAACCCAGAAAGCAGAACCTTTCCCAGAAAGAGGAATAGTCTCTTGAAGTGTGTGTCTATTTATTTAGTTCTTAGAACATGCACCAGGATATAATTACATCAAGCCATATCTACTAGCTGGAGTCTTTTGTGGACCATCCTGATGCCATCCAGTAGCATCTTGCATCTCTTGATCTGAGGGATTTACTGATCACTGGTGATTCTGTTAAACTCGGTTGATTCTGTGCTCTCTTTAGTCCTTCTGCTCAAGGGAAGAAGTGATATTACTTTAAAGGTGTTGTGTATATATAAACAAAGCTCATTTTAGAGGAGAAAGGGGGACAGTCAGCAGCATCCTCCAGAACGGTGGAAAGGCTTAAATATTTCTAGCTGAAATACCTTTATAACTTAATTCAGGTAAGATAGCACTTGTTTGGGTAATACTTCATATTTGTCTGGTGTTAGATATGTACAGTTAGTTATGTTAGTTATGTACAGTTGATTTTAGTAGGTATTTTAATAGCATGATTGATTTTCATTATCTAGAGTGAATGTCTTCGTATCTGAGTGCATTGTGTTATACTGCATGAGAACTTGTACTGTGATTAAAATATGTGAGTCAAAGGATACTACTTATGGGTAGAGGTAATTAACTGGCATTATGAATATGATTTGAATATGCATTGGAGTTATGATTCCTTAATTTTTTGTAATAGATTCTGTCTACAAGAAAAGCTTCCATTACTTATTATTTTCTGCCTGGCATAAGAAGGGGAAAATGAATGTGAAGAGGTTGAATTGTTTGATACAGCTGGGTAGAACCCAATAAATTACCCTGTTCTGTATTAAGTACTTTACGGGGATCACAAGGACATGAGTATTGATGTATTTGAACTAAGCAGCAGTGGAAAATCATGAAAATGCTACTGCAAATCAGTTCTTGATCTGGAAAATAATGATAACATGCAATAGAGGGATGGTATAACCCAGCCTTTCACCAATTTCTTCCAGCTTAAACTTTTTCATCCAGCAATTATAAGCATGGCAGTGACATAACCACATGCAATTGTCCAATTTGAGCACTGGTACTTATTGAATAAATGAGTTTTGAAAAGAGGTTTTGATGCTAAATTTGTTGGGTTTCTTTTTTCTGAAAAGAAAATGAAAAGGTCAGAATTCTAGCTGGCAAATCCATGGGCATTAGCTTCCACTGTGCTGATTCGATTCAGGTAGCATGACAGCAGACATAGCAGCAGAGCAAAAGGAGCAATCAGAAGTAACAATTTTTGCAAGTCAGAGAAAAATATAAATGTAACTAAATTAGGATATTGGTATAGGTGATATGCCACTTGGGTGAATAAGGATTCAACACAGAGAATGGGTTTAAAGTGTCAGGCTGCGACTTTACTGACATGACACAAAGGTATAAGCTGGACCCCAGTTCCTGTTAGGCATTGTGAAGGGACTGGAGTGGGATGGCTTTCCACCAACACCATGAAACAAGACCTGGCCTCCCAAAATTACCCATGGGATCTAGCCAGCTTGTTGAGATTCGTGACCAATATAGAGGGTATCTCAACCTTCACTAAATGTCCACAAGCAACATTACAGACACCAGATTCCCCTTGAGTCCTGCGTCCAGGTTTACCCCAGGATCTAGGCCGACTCTCCTAACTTTCTTCACACTGGACACTGGCCAAAAGCAGGGACAATCAAACTAATCCCTCACTGAACATTCATGGATACTGTGGGGAAAGTCAAAAGATCCTCAATGCTGATTTTGCTTTAAGGGAAATTCCTTCCCAAACCTCCGAAAGGCAATCACACTGGGTCCAGCAGCTCGCCGGAACCGGTTCTGCCACCCCCAGGGACCCTAGTAGGCAATGGAGAGTAGATAGGTGCTGTCTGAGGGACACAAAGATGGCATCCCTGGGTGCAGACAGAGGTAAGCTGGGAGGGAGGAGCAAGTCTGACTATGAAGGTCTGTCCATGGCACTGACCGCTTCCCTTCCATCCTCTCTAGCTTTATGTGGTCCTGCAGGAGAGGGAGGGAACACCTGTGTCTGGTAGGAAGGGTTCCAGCTCCTTTTCTCCTTCCCCAGCTAGCTCAGCACTCTAATAGAACTCTGGTTAGAGGGTCATGTTTAAGACTGTTGTCTTTTGAAAACTTGAGTGTCTTGGTTGTGCCACCTACAGTCTGACTCCTTCCTTATGAGCCCAAAGTTGCTGCCCTGTACAAGTTTAATTTACTGTTGTACATTTACTCCCAAAACACTGAATCAAGAAACTGAGGATATAGAAAATGACATTAATGCTAAGAAATACATATTGCATCATTTAAGGTTATACTAATAATTCTCTTGTGGATCGAAATTTGAGTCTTTATCCCATATTTTGTTTCAGAAATTGAGAGGAATGATGAGATGGCTGTCACTGATACTGCCTTTTCATTTCCCCATGCAAAATACTGGTAGAGTTACAGGTTCCCAGGGCCATGTTTTTAAAATAGACCTAGTCTTGCATCTGGATTTGCATGTCTGAAATTTTATACCAATATTTAGAACATGCAGTCTTGCATAGCTACAAACTGAATTTGCTAGTGCATATTAAGTAGTTAGCATATGCAAAACCAATTTTGGGAATATGGAAAATTTTGGATGCCTAAAAAACTTAGTCACACATAGTTACATGCACCTAAAACTGATACATGCATTTTTGTTGAATGCTGTTTTTGATAATATTGCCTTAAATATTAATGGGTAAGTTTCTTTCTACAAACACATTCCAATATATATCAAGTCACTGAGGAAGCTCTTTGGCTTAGTATTTCATTCTGGAGTAAAATTAAAGAAAGAAAATAAGTTTTATTCTTGTGCACCTTTATTATGATACTTTAATTGCTTAATCCTAATTGCTGAATTCCTAATTTCAGAAGCTAGAAAGCACAACAATTAGGTGACAATCTGGGATGTTCATATGCTGGGAAAAAAGAATTTCTTGGTACTTATATTATCCCTCAAAGTATTTCCAATATTTGTTGAAACTTTTAAAAAAAGAAAAAAGCAATCATTATGTTTTTCCAGGCTTTTCATTATTATTTTTGCATTTAAAAATCTATACATCTTTCAGGAACTGTACAGACATTAGTATTCACAGCAACCTTGTGATGTAGATAGGTAAGTAGTATTATTCCCATTTTGCAGATCAGGATATTAAGGCAAAAGATAAAGGCCAAACACTGAATAAGTGGTAATACTGGAATTGGAGCTGAATTATACCAGGTTCTCAGTCCTGTCTTCAGCCACTGGCACAGGCTGCAACTATTTTCAATTACGTTTCCTTTAGAAAGAGGTTCCTTAACTACACTGGGCCAGATTCTGCCACCCTCACTCTGAATGAATAATGCCTTATTGCACAATTAGTTGCTTTGATTTCACTGTGGCTGCTCGTGGAATATGGTCCTCAGTGACATTTTGATATTCCATTTTTGTTGTTAAGGGGAGTAGCTTTTCATTTCTAAGTCGTTGTCTTTATCTGATAGAATTCATAATAGCTACCATTAACCATCCGCCTTCTTTTTCTAACCAGGTATTAAAGTGAGCTTTAGAACCAGGGAACCTGATGGTCTGATTCTTTTCTCTGTGTCACCTGGGAATCAAGAGGAATACATTGCACTTCAGTTACAGAGTGGACGTCCTTACTTTCTTTTTGATCCACAGGTACAGTAAGGAGAAAGATAAAATAAAATATAGCTTTATTACAGATCCCCAAGGCATATTGTGTGCTTAATGGTATAAGATGATGGGGGTGCTTGCTTTTTTCCATTTTTTTTCATATTGATCCAGGTTAATGGATTCTTCAATACCCTAGATAATTGGTGATCTCTAGAAAAGAAGCATTGAATCCTCCAGGCTTTTGTAATATTTTGTTTTGTTTGCAAGTGTTAACATTTTTAAATTAGAGTTGCATTACATTTTTAAAAAAAAGTATTGTTCTTACCATTACCACTGAGTTAACAATCGTTAGTACCACTTTAAAATTCATTTTTAAATACTAAGACACCAGTTATGGATACATCTCTTTTTGATTATTAAATGAAGATAGCATACTTTTCTAGTAAATATTTTTCAGCATCCCATTTGATTGTGCACCCATTGAAGTCCATGAGAGTTTTCCCATTAACTTTAGTGGAAACACAATTGAGCCCTTCCTTCAAATTGGTGCCAAAAATATGTAAATGTATACATCCTTTTTAATACTGTTAGTGATACTTTTATTTTTTAAAATAGGTATAATTTAAAAATACAACTCCGTGGCCATAGCATCATACAGACAAATCCACTCTGATTGATTTAAAAGTTATGCAATGTGTGAATTAGGTGTCTGCATTAGCTCACTTTTAAAAAGAACCTAGAATGAAATCCTGCCCCTTTGAAGTAAACAGGAATTTTTTCATTGGCTTCAGTGGGGCCAGGATTTCACTCTGTGGTCTGAGCCAAAGCCCGTTGAAGTCAATGGAAAGCCTCCCATTAGCTTCATTAGGCTTTGAATGAGGCTCATAGTGCTGTGTCTTTCTTATATATTTTGATTAAAATAGTGGCCAAGGTCTTAATCAGAACTGGGGACTCTTTGTGATGGGTACTGTACTCTTTCTGATGGATGATATGGGTGATATAGGTAAATGGAGAGCCCCCACTCTAGGGATTTAGTCTAAAATACTTCAACAGGGAAGACACACACAGACACACACACATTTTTTGGCTATCGGGAGCGGTTAACAATTAAGGCCTGACAAATGGTTCAAGAAATTAATTCAGATATGGTCCCTACAAAGCGTTTGATTTTCCAAATGTGAAATGCCTTGTTTTACATAAGAATATTTAAATATGATCACAGTATCATTCTGCTACTCTGGGAAAAATGTGTTACGGAAGCATTTAGTAGAATGTATTTTGAATCCAGAGAATAGTTTCCTCCAAAATTAAGCACAGGTTGGCACATGCAGTTGTGTGGTCCCAGCTTGAACTGGGTACAAATAAATGTGGTTTCTGATGTATAAAACTATTAATGCTCTAGATTGTTGCCAAACATAATATGAAGAACCACTTATTCAGACACCTGATCTTTAGAATGCAGCATCGTTTGTAACAATTTTAACGCTAACTAAGTACACTTTGATGAGACAGCATTTAATAAAATGCTCATTAATTTCATCATTAGCAAGGGTATGCTAAGAAGTAAGCCAGTTTCTTATGTCACGCCCAATTAGCATCCCATGCTAGTAATCCCATTAGTATTGTTGAATTCACTAATGGAAAAACTAATGGGCATGCTACCAGGGCACATTAATTGGGCATGACACCAGTTCTGGTTTTAATTATTAAACTACGATAATGAAATGTGTGTTTGTAAAATATTTAAATGTTGAAATAAGGTAGAAGACAATAAAAATAGTATATGAAAAAATGCCTGGGTCCATGTAAGTGCATGTGGGTTTGTGTTGTTGTTGTGGGACAGTGAACTGATATACAAACCATGCCTGAATACCTAGGATGCAGGTACCTTTAAGAAAGGCACATGCATCTATGTGGAAAACATACTGCATATGCTCATGGGAAATTACTCCATTTTTATAATCTTAAATACATCATACGTATTCTCATGCATGGTATGCTCAGTGACAGCATCCAATTAAAAACATACTGGCCAGCAACACTCAGATAAAGTTTGAATGGAACGGAGTTTTATTCTTTTAGGCTAATGCAGCTTTAAAGGTTGTGGTAGTAGTGTTCAACAGAATCATATTAGTATTTATCGCATCAGTACACTACTTTTTTCATCGGTATAATATTAAGATCACTGAAAGGGAGAGAAGTTGAGAACAAAGGTGTTAACAAAAATTACAAAGCTATCTTTTTCATTTACTGCTGTACAGTGGCAAATCAGCTACTACTTTCAGAGATGCCAGTAACTATTTCAAAAAACAAAACAAGAGTTTATTTGCAAGTTTGGAAAATAGTTTTCTGAAATCTGTCCTCACAGTAACAAAGTCAATTTTACTTTATTAATATCTACTGTCTAAGAAAACTAGCATTTTTGCAGTTAAATAATTGCCTGGGAAGTTTTACTTACTGTACAGATGAGTATCCATCAGTCTCAGCTGCTTCTTGTTCAGAAGGATTGATTTCACCTAGTTGTAATGAAATTGCAATATAAGGCGACAACCTTCACACACGTGTGCTTAACTTTACTGCTGTGAGTAATACTACTATTTCTGGTACAGCATAGGATTTTGCAGGATTTGACCTAATTGTAGCCAGCTTTAAACCAAATTGTAGAAACCACTGTACAATTATATTTGCAATCTTAGGCTAAATTAGAATATAATTTAATGTGATTTCAGCTCCATCTCTAGAAGAGGTATACAGTTTTTAATAATCTTTCACATCTCTACCTGTCATTTAGTTTATCCCATTGAATAGGGTTGCTCCAAATATTAACAAGGTATTGATGAGGGGAGGGAGAAAAAAATACAAGAAAGCTATTCTTTAAAAAGTTCTTCTATAGTTGGCATTTTGTAGGCAGATAGAAAATGCATACGAGGTTAGACCATTGCTCTATCTATCCTGGCACCTTGCTGCTAACAGGGGCAATGCCTCAAATACATATTCAGAGATCCTCTTTCCTCATTTTTATCTTGATTAGTGATGGCATTTTATTTATTTTTTAAGAACATGGAAATATCCGTTTTGGAATGCTTGAACACACATTGTGGTCTAGTTGTTAGAGCAGGGGGATTGGGAGTCAGGACTCCTGGATTCTGTTCTTGGATTTGCCACTCTCTTGCATTTGCCTCTCCATCTTTCTGTGCCTTTGAGAAAGTTATGTTATTAATATTACACCTCTACCCCGATATAACGCGACCCGATATAACACTAATGTGAATATAACGCAGTAAAGCAGTGCTCTGGGGGGCGGGGCTGCGCGCTTCGGCAGATCAAAGCAAGTTCGATATAACACGGTTCCACCTATAATGCGGTAAAAGTTTTTGGCTCCTGAGGACTGCGTTATATTGGGGTAGAGGTGTATTATTTGTATTCTGATAGCACCCAAAATGTAGTAGACATTGACCACACATACAATCAGATACAATCTTGCCCAAAGAGCTTACAACCTAAGAAGACAAGCAATATATGAAGAGCGGAGGAAACAGATACAATCAATATGTTCACAGTTTTTATATCTATATTAATGAAAGTGGAAGATGTATGGCTAAGTACATTTCAGTGGTTAAAATCTCAACAAATAAAAGTGTGATTTTAAAAAAATCAACTATGACCAACTATCCTCATCCTAGCCATTATTAATTGGCTTATTTCTTATTTCTTCACCTCAGTTTTTCCCATTTATAAAATGGGGGTAATTATTTTTAGCTCACAGTGGGGTTGTGAATCTTTAATTAAATAGTTAAGGCACTTTGGGATCTCTAGACAAAAAGTTCCATAGAGACACAATATTATTAATCGTTGCTTCAGGTGTTTGTACAAAATATAACATATTAGCATAATGCTTCTCTTTCTTTAGCATAAGGGGTGCATAAGAATTGTGATAATAATTAGAGAGCGCAGTAGTTCATTGTCAAATATTCACGGTATTTCATTGTCAAGCTTGCTTCATAGCAAACATTTATTTTTTGCTCTTCCCCCTAATCACCTGAGATCTATTAACAAGAAGCTTATCTCCTGTGTTTGAGATTTGCAGTGGAAACTAGCATTAAAACAAGTGTCTACTCTTTTCCATTAAGGCCAACATCTCTCTAATGTAGATTGGAATCACCAGTGAGAGCTACTTCACCTGCTAATTAGAATGTGACTTCTTGATTTTAAAAATAAAAGCTAATGATTTGTTCAAATGTTCCATTCTCCAAGAGTGTTACATTAAGCTGGCTTCTTTCAAACTTATAGGCAGTGCATTGCCCAAGTACAGCGTTTTGCTTTTAAGAACAAAAGGTGAAATCCTGGTCCCAATGAAGTCATTGGCAAAGCTCCCACTGACTTCACTGATGTGATTTCACTCAAAGTATTTTAAAGTTTTACTGAAACAGTAACAATGAAGGTTCAGTATATAGTTCTGTAGCCTTAAAATTCTGTCTGTTCTGCAGGGGTATCCTGCCCTGAAGGATGAATTCTATTGAATAATATTGAATTCCTTGAAAAAAGGCACTTTATCCCTGCAAGTCAGGTGTAATTTAATGCTCTGGGATTGTATTTATTAAGGATTACTGGGAGATTTAAACACCAATCAGACATCAATCCCTAGGAATTGCCCTATGACACAGTCACTTTTCCTACAGTATTATGAGAGAAACATCTGTTTAAAAAAATGAATAATTCATTTGGATGTGATGTCTGCATCAGTTATTTTCCTTTTACCTGGTGTATTTAGAAAAGTTTTGTACTAGATGTTAGCCATTGAGATCTCCAAGTGTGTCTCACTTATCTTATCATTTACAATTTTGTATGTCCAAAATAATTTCAATATAACTTGGAAAGAGTTATGATTAGATTAGCATTTGTTTTGCATGCATCTCTTACATACAAATGGCATCTTAAAACCACCCCCCTCTGATTTTTTTCAGCTGAATTTTTTATATGACTTTTCTCTTCTCCAAAAAAACTGGACTGACTGTCCTTAAGATTGAAGTCTTCTCTTTATCCACAGAATGGGGTGAACAATGGCAGTGCAAGCTTCCCAATACTGCCCTATAAGTATTCCTGTACCTTTACTTAGAGAGACTACCTAGAGACAGAAACTGCCAAACAATCCCAATTAGTGTTAAATGTGATGGTGGCTTCTGTATACCAGACACTCATTTCACACACTGCAGGCTGCCTAACAGTCATCCAATAACTGTCTGTTGAAATATTACAGAATTTCAATTTAACACCCCCCCCACCCCTCTGAAATCAGTGGAGCTGCAGAGGGGGTTAGTCAGAAAAGAATTTAGGCTCTAACTCATAGTAGCAACTAAACTTGATCCCTAGTCCTACACACAAACTTTTGAGTAGGCTAATTGACCAAGGATTGGGATTGCAAAGAGATGAGTAAAGCTTGCGCAATGTTAACCATTGTTCACTATTTTAGCATAAATTTAATAGAGGAGGTATTTTTTGCAAATCTTTATATACTGCAGGATGCTTTGCTACATGTCTGAGATTAAGGCTACAACACTCCTAAATGCCTCTATTTCACCTGCATATATAATTTAGCGAGGTACTGTGACACTCTGTATCTCGGGGGAACACCCTGCCCCCCCCCCCATGTTCATCCTTCTGGTATGATTGTGTGGTATCCAATGCAAAGTTTGTCATGTCGGTTATTTTCTGAAGGCTCAAGATGCACTGAGCATTGTTGTTATAGTAATGGTATAGGTTATAATTTCATGTATATAGTTATGAGGTTGAAAATGTGTCCTCATGGCTTAAAACAAGCCCAGGCAAAACTCTTCAGGAACAGACGGGCAGTTCACACCTCATCAGGGCATGTATGGAACAAACCCATCCCAGCCTCCCAGGAACAAAGGACACTGGCCTAGACAGCAGCAAAGGATCTGCTGGACTTTCGAATGAGTTACCCGCCTTCCCTTGGTCAGTCAGGGACTACGATGAGGTAATGCTCACCTGACCCTGAAGCGGGGGCCAAAGCCAAGAGGGAAGAAAGGACATGATAAAAGGGAGAGACCTTTGCCATGCTCTTCCTCTCTCTTCCACCTCCATCTATAGACATTACCACCAAGCAACTGAAGCGCTGATCAAAGGGGAGAGCCTGGCTGAAGGGCAACCAGCCAGCCTGTGGTGAGAAGCATCTAAGATTGTAAGGACACTGAAAGTGTTAAGATCAGCGTAGAATGTGTTTTTCTTTTATTTCATTTGACCAAATCCAACTTGTTGTGCTTTGACTTATAATCACTTAAAATCTATCTTTTGTAGTTAATAAATCTGTTTGTTTATTCTACTTGAAGCAGTGCGTTTGGTTTGAAGTGTGTCAGAGACTCCCCTTGGGATAGCAAGCCTGGTACATATCAATTTCTTTGTTAAATTGATGAACTCATATATACTTGCAGCATCCAGCGGGCATAACTGGACATTGCAAGGCGGATGTTCCTAGGGTTGTGTCTGGGACCGGAGATATTGGCTAGTGTCATTTGGTTGTACAATCCAAGCAGCTTACATGCCAGAGGCTGTGCCTGAACAGCCCAGGAGGGGGTTCTCACAGCAGAGCAGGGTAAGGCTGGCTCCCAGAGTCAAGGACTGGCATGACCTAGCAGATCACCGGTCCAGATAACACCAGGGGAACGTCACAGGTACCTTCTATTAATATTTTAAATATTTCTTGAAAGGGATCTGCAGTGGCAGTTACTCCAATAAATGATGGCGGAAGACAATACAATGATAACATTTGGCACCATATAATTGCGACAAGAAATCAGGCTTTGGGAAAAATCACTGTGGATAGTCAGTTCACAGGTAATTAACCCATTCCATCACATTATATCATTATCATCAGGATATTACTCACTTGCTTTCACTTTCACTATTTACCCTCTTCTGTGTGTCGAAAATATTTGCACAAATTTTCATGAAGAAATTGGTCACAGTACATTGTCTGCTATGGTCTGTAAATCATTGGCAATTTTAATACTAGACTCTAGGATTTTTGTCTCTCTTTATACTTCTTGATGATATGCTGCTATTATGTAATTCTATTGTAAAATGCCTTTGTAAAGCATCCTGGGGCTTGTGTAAAAGGGCACAATATAAGCATGCATAGTACTATATCTGAATCCTGGATCTAATATGTGATACAGCATCACTATTAAATTAAAGATTTATTGAAAACTTTGCATAGAAAAATAATACCCTTTCTTTTTTTAGGTTCGTCCTCAGCTACAAGTGGCAGTACCATTATTGGGGAAAACACAGGTGTTTTTGTTGGAGGACTTCCACAGGATTATACTATCCTAAGAAAGGACATGAGTGAGTATAGTTGTGTTATTCATGTGATGTATCTGAAATCCACTACACTGGGATTGACTAACCTACCTTTGCAACACTGAGGGCTGCATTGATAATTTGCCAGGAACCCGAGGGCAGCACTTAATTTACATAATTATTTAGATAATTGTTTAATCAAAAATACATTCACACAAATTTTCTTGTATTTGCATCTTCAATGATAGAAATTGCTTTTTGGCTGAGTTCACTAGCAATATAAGCAACATTACTTCACACATATGTTGACTTATATAGGATACGTACATATAAGTTAGTAACATATACATAAAGCATGTGAGCGCATTTCATATTTTATGTAGCATAAGGATTCCAAAGTACTTTTCAAAACTATAAATATATATTGTGTTGATGCAAAAACAATATTAATAAAAATTAAGTTATAATAATGTTGTCATTACAAACTTCTTTGTGCCTTTACTGAATATTAATATATCGTTACAAGTGTGCTATAGCAAAGATGCTTAGAAATAGGACAATACACATGTTTAGCTAATTATGTTAAAAACTGTTAAAGCTAATAGAAGAAATTTCAGATGTTTTCTACTTCTGTGTCCCAAGGACAAGCAAATATCAAGCAGACTTACCATATAAACATTTTTAGTAAGAAAGCTGATTGTGACAGGAATGCAGTTATGTTGTGTTATCAGAGCAATAAATCTAGAGGTAAAGTGGTGCTATACCATCTCCCTTCCCATTTTCTTTTTAAAGGAAAACCTGAGTTTAAAGCCACACAAAAATCATCTAGGAGCATAGTGTAGTAAAATCTCATTCTGTGGGCAAGTTAGTGACAGAAAGGTAAGGGAATTGTCATTTGATTCAGAAAAATCTACAGAATTATAATTTCAGTGGTGTTGCCCTCTGTGGTGTGGCAAGCGGGGGGCCTTACTACCTCTGGTTCCCAGCTCCAGGTCCTTTAGATGGTATAAATGTCATCAGAAAAGGGTCAAGTTGGGTATAATTGAAAAGCTCTTTCTAAGAGCTACTAAAAAATAGGCATGTTTGGACTTCTGGAAAACCGAATTTTCTTTTCCGTCAAACTCTATTAAAACTGAAAATATCTCAGAAAATAGACTGAATTAAATTTTTTCTTTTTAAGTTAGTTTTAACTCTATCTTGATCTTTCTGGCCACAAGAACAAAGGCGATTAAAGAAATGTTGCATAGTCATTAAACGAAGTACATATTCAGGAGCTGAAAGTGTCACCTAAGCCATGAACCAAGGCATGGAGCCCATGAAAGAGGGACATCTAAAAAAGCATGGAAGAGGTGTGTTTTCTTACAATTTCAGGAAAAGGAGATGGGTATATAAGACAGAAGTGAGCACCCCACACTCACCCTCTGAGCAGCAAGCGCTATTTAACTCATTCTGTCCATCTCTACAAACAAACTGCCACAGACAGATAAGAAAAACAAAGACAACTCAAGAAGAAACTAGCCTAAGGAAACCTCTCCAAGACTTGAGCAGGGATTCATGAGAGAAAGTTAGCTAAAACATTGCCAAGGGATTAGATTTAAAACTTTTGTAATGATTTTGTTGGAATATTGAAATGCTGTTGTAACTTAAAAGACTAAGGCTAGGTCTACGCTATGGGGGGGGGGTCAACCTAAGATACACAACTTCAGCTACGTGAATAGCGTAGCTGAAGTTGCGTATTTTAGGTCGACTTACCTGGCTGTGAGGACGGCGGCGAGTCAACCGCCGCTGCGCCGCCGTCGACTCCGCTTCCGCCTCTTGCCACAGTGGATTTCTGGAGTCGACGGCAGAGCCATCGGGGATTGATTTTATCGCGTCTTCACTAGACGCGATAAGTCGATCCCCAATAGATCGATTGCTACCCGCCGATCCAGCGGGTAGTGAAGACGTGCCCTAACAGTTTCTCCTGTTAATAACCAAATGGTTAGTCCATGAGGAGTCGGGCTAAACATTGGTAAACAGAGAAATAGTGGTATTTAATTGAATTTAAAATTCTTAATATTGGTTAATTGGGCTGTCTCAAGACAGCTCCTTAAATGGCTTCTTATAAGTAACTGATATAAATATTTCTTCGGTTTCATAGAATTTAGTTAAAATTGCTTACTTGGCCAGCTATATACTGGCTGATTATTTATTAATAACCAACAGGTCCACCTGCTCTCTTTCACAAAATTCTTTTGCCCGTGTATAAACATTCTTAGTTATCTAAAGATATAGTAAAGAATGGATTCACAATAATTTGGGAAAACAATATACTTTGGTATTAACTAACCAAAAGGAAAGCACACCTCAGAGGTGTGTGCTCTTAGGGATGTAATCTCTGTTCAAACTCTCCAAAGAGAGACATGCAGAATAGATTGTAGCAGAAGTAACCAGTTTAACATTTGTGTTAGGTCATTTGTGGTGTTTGATGTTTTCTTTTCCTTTCTTTAACAAAAAAAAGAGCTGTGATTAATAAATGTGATTATTTTGCTTGGTCTTGAGCTTCTATATGAGCCAAGCTTCTGTGTTGGCATTAAGAGAAACAGTTGGTAAGAGCTGGCCTATCATGTCTTGGTTCTCTAAACTAAATATTTTTAGTAATTTTTAATTCAAAATTACTTGGAGTCCAACAATTTAAAACTACCCCTTTTATTCCCACAAATTGAATTGCCCAAGAACTTAACTACTGAAACATCAAGGCTGAAATGCAACAACTATTTAGCTCAGCAGCGCTGCATGCCAATATAGGACAGAAGGTGCTTTGTCCAGTTGAAACAGTAGAGGAATGTAGAATGCAGCTACCCAAATTCAAATGTAATGAATACTTATATTTAACCAGGACACCGGACATAACACCCTACTCATGCAAAATTGCAATGGGTTCTTGAATGTCTACAAGTAAGTGAGGCTTGGTCTACACTACGGAGTTAGGTCAAATTTAGCTGCGTTAGGTCGATTTAAAAATGAATGCTTCCACACAACAAACCCCATTCCGTCGATCTAAAGGGCTCTTAAAATCGACTTCTGTACTCCTCCCGGCGAGGGGAGTAGCGCTAAAATCGACTTTGCTGGGTCAGGTTTGGGATAGTGCGGATGCAAATTGACAGTATTAGCCTCCGGGAGCTATCCCAGAGTGCTCCATTGTGACTGCTCTGGACAGCATTTTGAACTCCGATGCACTAGCCAGGTACATAGGAAAAGCCCTGGGAACTTTTGAATTTCATTTCCTGTTTGGTCAGCGTGGCGAACTCAGCAGCACAGATGACCATGCAGTCCCCCCAGAATCGTAGAGCGTAGAATGTTTCTACACTCCCCCTATCATCTCTGTCCCTGAGGTTATCGCAGATTAGAAGGCAAAAAAACGCACTTGCGATGACATGTTTTCCGAGCTCATGCAGTCCTCCCGCACTGATAGGGCACAGCTTAATGCATGGAGGCATTCATAGACTCATTAGACTTTAAGGTCAGAAGGGACCATTATGATCATCTAGTCTGACCTCCTGCACAATGCAGGCCACAGAATCTCATCCACCCACTCCTGTAACAACCCCCTAACCTATGTCTGAGTTATTGAAGTCCTCAAATCGTGGTTTAAAGACCTCAAGGTGCAGAGAATCCTCCAGCAAGTGACCCATGCCCCACGCTGCAGAGGAAGGCGAAAAACCTCCAGGGCCTCTGCCAATCTGCCCTGGAGGAAAATTCCTTCCCGACCCCAAATAAGGCGATCAGTTAAACCATGAGCATGTGGGCAAGACTCACCAGCCAGCACCCAGGAAAGAATTATCTGTAGTAACTCAGATCCCACCCCATCTAACATCCTATCACAGACCATTGGGCATATTTACCTGCTAATAATCACAGAACAATTAATTACCAAAATTAGGCTATCCCAGTGGCAGAGGCCAGGAAAGAATTAAGTGAGTGCGAAGAGCGGAGGCAGGACGCGATGCTGAGGCTAATGGGGGAGCAAATGGACATGATGAAGCATCTGTTGGAGCTGCAGGAAAGCCAACAAGAGCACAGATCCCCGCTGCATCCACTGTATAACCATCTACCCTCCTCCCCATGTTCCATAGCCTCCTCACCCAGATGCCCAAGAACGCGGGTGGTCGGGGAAGGCTCTGAGCACCCAGCCATTCCACTCCAGAGGATGGCCCAAGCAACAGAAGGCTGTCATTCAAACAGTTTGATTTTTACTGTGGCTACAATAAGCAATGTGGCCTTGCCCTTCCCTCTTCCCACACCCCACCCGGGCTACCTTGTCTGTTATCTCATTTTTTTTTTAATTAATAAAGAAAGAATGCATGGTTTCAAAACAATAGTTACTTTATTTCGAAGGGGGGAGGGTGGTTGGCTTACAGGGAATTAAAATCAACAAAGGGGGCGGGTTTGCATCAAGGAGAAACACACACAACTGTCACACCGAAGCCTGGCCAGTCATGAAACTGGTTTTCAAAGCCTCTCTGATGCGCAGCGCGCCTTGGTTTGCTCTTCTAATCGCCGTGGTGTCTGGCGCGAAACTATTGTCTGCCATTGCTTTCACAGAGGGAGGGGCGACTGACGACATGTACCCAAAACCACCTGTGACAATGTTTTTGCCCCATCAGGCATTGGGAGCTTAACCCAGAATGCGCTTAGTGTGGACATATGCAATCGACTGTATAAAATCAATTTCTAAAAATCGACTTCTATAAAATCGACCTAATTTCATAGTGTAGACATACCCTGAGACTTTTTCACATCTCATCCAAAATAAAGTAAGTCTAGCGGTAGGGTGACTCCTAACACAATGTTCAGTAATTATTCCAGTACTGGAGCATAGGAAACAATGCTAGACTACAGTGTTTTCACCAGCTTTAACTGTTATCCATCTATCTAGATAATTTAGGTACTTATATGGCCCTCATTATTGTAGTATCTGAGTTCCTCACAGTTTTGCTGTATTTATCCTTCAACACCGCTGTGTAGGGGGTTCGGAAGTACTGTCATGCCCATTTTACAGGTGGAGAACTGAGAAACTAAAAGACTTTTAGATCACACAGGAAGTCTCTGATGGATCAGGTTACTGAAGTCAGATCTCCCGGGTCTCAGTCTGGTGCCACTGGACCATACTATTTCTCTTAATTGCTTATGTACTTGAATTTTTATTGCCTTACTTCATACACCTGCATACAAAGCACATTATACTATGAGCAGTGGAACACAATGAAGTGGCTAAATGGGTTACTTATTATCTATTTCGATAAGGACCTGGGTATATTTCACCTATGCAGTCCGCAGTTTGGACCTCTATTGTAATAATTTGCACTTTCCTCACATGGCTGTGTCCATATGCAAGGAGAGTGCGGATTACACACACTGCAATTTTACCGCTGTTTAAAATCCTCCTTACTCTTAGAGTCTAAGAAGTGACTATGTAAAAATGGTATTCTGGGATTTCATATTTGTTGTGTCTCAGTGACTCCATATCATGTTTGCTCAGTTTACAAGTAAAAAGATGTTTTTCCTAACTGACAGCACTGGGATCTCTAAGTCAAACAGTGTTTACAGCACCATCAGTAGTAAAGACTTGGAACTTAGTTGACAACTTCCTTTCATGGTGTGCTGCCTGGAGTAGACTTCAGCTCATTCTCTTGTCATTGTGTTAATTCTGCAGGGTTTACAGGAATCAAAAGTAGCACAAACTTACTTTTGTCATTAAACATCCAGTTATAACACAGAAGGGCAAATGCTGTCCCTTCCTGAGAAGCTGCAGAGGGCTCTTTGGCAATGCAGCCAATGTAGTTATGCTACTTAATATGAGGCTGGATATCAGGGAGCACACAAGAGGGTGGCACCTCTCCACATTGTGGAGTCTTGTTCCATACGTATGCCCAGCAATGCAGCACACAGGGAATGGGGGGGAGGGATCCATGAGTGCATGTAGGTATTACATAAAAACCAACAAAAAACTCAGCATGTGCATGGAATTAGTAAACCAAAAAGCTTCCACTTCCTGTGTCTTTATTTCAATTTACCAAGAACAGAAAAACATGCATCCATAGTCTTTAAGGAATTGGTTCAGACAATCATTCCAGGTGTCTGCCTCAGAATCCCATGTAACTCAAAAGGACTGTGCAAACAAACTAATCAGAGTGGGTTTACTTTTATATATTTTTCAGAAGAGGGCCATCAGTAAAACCTGCCTTATTACAGATCCCTCTCCAGTTAGGAAAAATGGATGTGTACAATCTCTTATTTCCCAACATGTCTTTCCCCAGCCAAGGCTACCAAGAAACCCCATTCACCTGTATTTCTTAGAGATATTGGATAGGAACTACCCTGTCCGTTGTACTGAGTGGAGAGGGGAGTTTGAGCCCATACTGCTCAGGAAACTCTGATTTTGGGGTTCAGAGCCAGATTCAGAAACAGTGGCTTCTATGAGACCACATCTTTCCCTCCACTGGTTGCATCCCCTTCCTCGTGGTATTTCTAAGAAGTAAAACCTGAAATGGAGGAGTGCTAATTTAGGATTCCCTTAGAATCCTCATGGGGCATGTACACGCTGTTGCATCCATATGGGCTACTTTTGCTGTTGATCTGAAGGAGCCTCCATGAAGCAGTTCAGCAAGTTCAGAATCCTTCCAGGCCAAAGAGTGGTGGCTGCTTCCCTAATGGCTGGCCAGGCACTAGAGTCTGGATTTGACCCAGGGAGGCACAAGTACTCCTGTTCTTTTTGCGGATACAGACTAACACGGCTGCTACTCTGAAACCTGTCATAAAGAGATTGATATTTATATACATATATACCTCTCCATCTGTGTGTGAAGTATGATATGTATGCATATTTGTCTTTATTTTAATATCAGGTGGTTCATTTCCTAAATGATATTTTCACTTTTGCAGGGACGAAGACAATAATCCAGAAAGGTTTTGTGGGGTGTCTCAGTGATGTGTTTTTGAAAAAAACACACAATCCCTATGAAAATTGGGAACCTTTAGAATGGCAGGATGCTGAAGAGCAAAACAACGTCTATCACAGTTGGGAAGGGTGTCCCACTGTCCTTATGGAAGGAGCACATTTTCTTGGCAAAGGTAAAATAGTATATTATATAGTGGACCTATCAATTCTCAAATTGAATAAATTACCACACCTGTATTTCAATTGTCCTCTTTTTAAACACATTCTTACTTACACAGGGTTATTTTCAGCTGGGCTAAGGCTTAGCTTCTGTGTTTACAAGAGCAATTCATGCCCACAGAATGAATTACAGTCAGCAAGAGGTGCAGCTGCTTGAGATGCACACACATTTACTACAATGAAATATTTTGCAGGTGCTGATTGTGCCTACGAAGGGAGAGGGCACACCTACTGAATATTAACACAAAATACCGTGATGCATCAGTGGAACACCATGATGCAAAAATCACAATGAAGTATTAGGTTGTTGCACTGTTTCTCCTTCCTGGGTTTTTGCTCCATTTGATGATGAGTGGCTTTACAAGGCTGAATGACACTGTTCTAGAACATCAACGCAGCGTCCTCTGTTAGAATTCTATAAATGACTGTGCAATGCCGCATCTTTCCTTACTTTTGATTTCTGCTTTGATTTATTTATTTTAAAAACATGTTATTTTGTCTTTCAAGGGTTCCTGGAACTCCATTCAGATATTTTTCATGGTGGACTCGACTTTGAGATCTCCTTTAAATTTAGAACAGACCAACTGAATGGATTACTTCTGTTTGTTTACAACAAAGAAGGCCCAGATTACCTTGCAGTAGGTTCAGAAATGAATTATTACACATATTTTTTTCAGATACCTTGTATGAGATTTTCTTGTTACTGTCTCTCCCTAAAATCACTATCATTTGTTGTTTTTTATTTTTTCAAACAATGTAATCTTATATTTATATGTTCACCAAATACCAATCTGTACAGCATTTTAAAATGTATAGCAAAAGGGTTGAAAAGAAAAAAATATAATTCATGTATATATTTTAAATAAGAAAAAAATCAATATGTCACATACATTGCAACATCTTCTACTGGATTGTAAGCAATTAGAATCAGTTAGAGATGGAAAAGACCTATATTAAGTCCATTCCCTTGACAGTGTGGAATTGTTCTCTTTTGTATATTTACATGACAAGGACTTTATCCAGGTCAGTTTAACTATCTCAAGTTCCAAGAGTTCCATCACATCCCTAAGGAAACTGTTCCACGCCCTAATAGATCATCATAATCAGGATTTTTTTTTCTTATTAGCAATAATTTTCCATTTTTAATAGGAATATAAGAATTGTCACACTGGATCAGACTAATGGACCATTTTAGTCCATTATCCTATCTCCAACAGTGGCCTATATCACATGCTTCAGAGGAAGGTGCGGGGGGAAAAACCTGCAGTGGGCAGCTATGGAATTATCTGCCTATAGAGAAGTTTTCTTCCTAACCTCCAATAGGAAGAAGCTGGTTTATGTGGTGAAGCATTACTTCTTTATCAAAACTCTGTTCGGGATTTTTTTAGTCCAGTCCTTTAGTCTTGTTAAACTCTTCAGTTCTACAGGTAAATTGTGTATTGTGAGAAACACTATTTCCTTTTATTATTTTTAAATGTACTGCCTTTCAATTTTATGAAATTTCTCCTTGTTTTCTTGTATTATGAACGAAAGTTATCAGAAGAGCCCAATCCAATTCCTGCACACCATCATTAATTTTATACCTATAACATGTCCCTTATTTGTTTCCTCTGTACAGTAAAACCTCCCCAATCTCTTCAATTCTCTTGATAGAGAAGTTTTTTATGTCTCTAGTCATTTACATTGGCATCTACATCTATGAACTTCCTTTATCTTTGCTATATCCTTTTTCACATAGAGCGACCAGAACTGAACAAAGATGCCTTTTTGCCATGCTTCCTTATTTATTTATTATTTGTATTTCTGTATCTTTGGTTTTAAATGTTAATGTCACAGTCGTGGGTTTTGGTACCTTTACTTCTCCAAGGATGTTGAACTTAGTTTCATTGTGGTTGCTATTACTTGGCCGCTCAACTACAGTTACTTCTTGAATCAACCCCTGTTTGTTATATGGGATTAGGTTGAGAATGATCTCTTCTTTTAGCTGTTCCAAGAAGTGGTCATTTAAGGTGACAATAAATTGCTTCACTATACCTTGTCCCATTGTTATATTTAACCAATTTATATATAGGTTAAATATATTTACATCACCCATTATTATTGTTTTATTAGCTTTTGTTGCCCCCTTGATCTGTCTCAACATGGTTCATTCAGTATCCTTTTCCTTATCTGGAGGCTGGTAGTATAATCCTACTCGTATGTTTGTATTTTCATGACTTGGACTTTGTATCCATACAGCTTCAACTATGTGGATCTTTCCACTCAGAATTATCTCACTAGATTCTAGGGATTCTTTTTGGGGTGTTGTGCTATTTCTCACATCTCTATGATCCAATCTACCCTCCTTGTATAGTTTTATATCCAGACATTACAGTATCATTAATTTTTGTCATTCCATCATTTCACTAATGCCTGTTATGTCTCATTGCCAGACATTCTAATTCACCTGTTTTTGCTTTAAACTTCTGGCATTCATTATATAAGTCTTTATATTTTGTGAGCAGGTGTCTGGTTTTTATCTAACTCCTTAGTCAGACATTTGTTGATCTGTCAGAGTTTACTTGTCTGATCCCAACCCATCCCTGCTCCAGTTCAGCTATAATTTCTGTCCCGTCCTTCATCCCTAGCAGATATGTTTGCCTGACCTGTGAACTCCTCTGCCCCATCAGCTTTCCCCCAGCTCCTGGTTTAAACAGCTCCAAAACCTTATTAATTTTCAGTGCCAGAAGTCTGCCTAATTTCATTCTATTGCTCCAATTCATTATCTATGTAACAGTGCTGCCCAGAGGATGCCATCAGGATTATGGCCCCAGTGTGTCACACTGCACTAACTAGGGCTCAGTCCTGCAAACACTTTTGGGTAGGTAAATTTACCCACTTTACCCACATGCTCAAGTATTTGCAGGTTTGGGGTCACACAATCCCTGCCATAAAGATGATAATCTAAGAAATTATATTGTAAAATCCTTTGGGCAGGTGCTGTCTTTGTACAGCACCGAGAACAATGGGTCTTGGTCTGTGCCTACTGACCTGAGGTGCTATGGTAACACAAATAATTAATAATAATCATAATAATAATAATATATCCGCTTGTATTAAACTAAATATTTCTTCTCCATACTTAATGTTTACCAAGTCTATTATGTGTAGACTGTTACCATATTTTCTAGAGAGACAAGACTGGTGAGGTAATATCTTTTATTGGACCAACTTGTATTGGTGAGAGAGACAAGCTTTCAAGCTACATGGAGCTCTTCCTCCAGTCTGGGAAAGATACTCTGGTGTGTCACAGCTAAATGCAAGATCAAACAGATAGTTCAGCATACATAGGTAGCACATATTCAGAGAGACCATTCAAGGTGATGTGGCCTATTAACACCCCGGTAGTCATAGGTCAAAAAGAAGGGTTAGTGGGTTACAGATTGTTGAAATAAGCCATAAATCCAGTGTCTTTATTAAGGATATGATTTTTAGTGTCAAGCAAAGTTATGAATTTAAGCTCCCAGGCTCATGTTATGAAAGTTCTTTTGAGGATGAGCACTGATAGGTCAGATATAGAGTGATCACTTTGTGAAAAGTGCTCACCCAGGTGTGATGTGGTGTTTGTCTTTTATCATTTACCTGTGTGAATTCACCTGAGAGTGCAGTGATTGTCTGGTTTCACCCACATAGTTGTTATTGGGGCATTTAGTGACCTGGATGTGGTACACCACGTGTTGTGACAGGCATGTGTAGGACCCATAGATCTTGAAAAGTATGTTATGGGAGGTGTTGATCATTGTAGCGGTGGAGATATGTCTGCATGTTTTGTATGTGTTGTTCTGGGAGGGTCTGTTGCCGCTTTGAATTTGAGCTTGCTTGTGATGATGAGCTTGGAGAGTTGGGGGGTTGTTGCTAGGCCAGAAGAGGGATTCAGGAAAGATTTCTTTCAGGATTCAGTCCCCATTGAATATGAGTTGTAGTTGTTTGATGATACACCGTACGGGTTCCAATGTGGGATGGTAGGTGACAACTAGGGGTGTGCAGTTTGAATCAGACAATCACTATGCTCTTGAATGAATTCACGGGAAAATGATAAAAGAGAAAAACACCATATCACCTGTGGATGAACACTTCTCAGAAAGAGATCGGATATGGAGTGATCAATCATTGTTCACCCTCAAAGTAAACCTGCACAACACTTTCAAAAGATGAGCCTGGGAGCTTAAATTCATAACTTTGCTAGTCACTAACAATCATAGACTGAATAGAGACACTGGATTTATGGTTTATTACAACAATCTACAACCCATAACAACCCCACCCCCATTCCTCCCCTCCCTATGACTGGAGGAGTGTTAAAGGGCCACTTCACCTTGAATGGTCCCTTGAAATATGTATCATCTACTTATGCTAAACCATTTGTTCCAGCTTGTGTCTAGCTGTGACACCCTAAGGCCTTGTCTACACTACTGCTTAAGTCAATGTAAGTGATGTCGCTCAGGGTGTGAAAAAAACACCCCCCAGAGTGACCTAATTTACATTGACTTAACACAGTGTCTGCACCGCGCTATGTTGGCAGGAGACGCTCTCCACCAACATAGCTTCCACCTCTCATTGAGGTGGATTAATTACGTCGATGGAAGAGTGTGCTCCTGTCGACATAGCGCATCTTCACCAGATGCGCTGAATTTACGCCACCCCATCAATCGCAGCGGCGCTCATTTAGTGCGGAAATGAAGACAAGCCCTGAGTTGGTTTTGCGGACCTGAAGAAGACTCAAAAGCTTCTCTCTCTCACCACCAGAATTTGGTCCAGTAATATCTCTCTAATATTGTCTCTCTAATATCCTGGGACCAACATAGCTACGACAACACTGCATACATCATATTTGCTGTCAGTTGTCATTTCACTCACCGATATGTATTTAAAACTTTTTTCTCTTTCCTCTTTAAACTTCTGTCATAAATTAGAAAACAGCAACAAGAAGCACTTAGTGTTGATTTTTAGGATATTTCTAATTTACAAATGAAACAGCAACTAAATGGACTTATTCCCAATTTTAAATTTAATTTTGGGTATTATGCTTGCCCCCTGACCGTTTTTGTTCCTTTACAGCCACATTTTCTTATTTTTAAGTGTTTTTCTTTCTCCCTTTATGTGGAAGTCCCACAGAAATAGATAAAAATGATTATCTGACTATAAAGAGGAAATGACTGTACAAAAAGCACTGTCAAATGCACAAAGTAAGCAAAGAGAAAAATAATTTCCCCCTCTAAAGTCACTTTCCGTTTTAGTCAACGTAGGTGTTACAACTCAGTTGGTTATTACTGCACTGAAATGGGTGGTTGAATATGTTTCCCTGCCTCCATTAGCAATTTTCATCTCACCTCATCCCCTCACCTCAAGGAGTGCTATGTGCAGAGTACATTTTCTAGTCTCTTGGAGTCCGATGTTACAAACACACATAAGGATGTCAGAAGTGTTCTCTGTGTATTTAAGCTCACACAAAAAAGTTAACACTGAGTGGAAGTGAGATTTATAGCACGCTGCTCGTAAATGATGGTGCTGTCGTTGGGAGCCTTGATCAGAACAAACTTGCATTGGAAAATAGGTTAGAAGTCACAGCACTTTGCCAACTTCTCTATGGGCAGATAATTCCATAGCTGCCCACTGCAGGTTTTTTCCCCGCACCTTCCTAGGTCTCATTACAAAATGGCGTATGCCATGTTGTAGTTGCTGTTGTGTCAGCCAGAAAAGTGAGTGAGCTTCAAACATTTCTGGCTGAACCACATTATATGACATTGCACAGGACAAGGTGATACTCAGCCCCCACTCCTTTCTAGGGTGACCAGATCACACAGGTGAAATATCGGGGGTGGGGGCGGAGAAAAAAAAAAGCCGCCCCCTCCACCCCTGCACCAGCATGCCTCTGCTCCGTCTCCACTTCCCCCCTCCCTCCAGTGGAACCCCTCCCCCCCAAAAAACGGCCGCCCGAGCTCCACGCCCTGCCCCCCCCCACCAGCTTGCCTCCACTCCGTCTCCACCTCCCCCCTCCCTCCAGCAAGCCTGGGAGGGAGGGGGAGGAGGAGGAATGCAGCATGCTTGGGGAAGAGGCGGGGCAGGGCAGGGATTTGGGGCAGGATCCAATGGGGGAAGGAGAGGATGGGGTCAGGGTGGGGGGGCGCGAGCCCCCTCCGGGCTCCGCTCCGCCTGTGAGCGGAGGCAAAATATCGGGACAATTCGCGTCCCGACCGAAGGTAGGTCGGGACACGGGACAAATAAGCAAATATCGGGACAGTCCCGATAAAATTGGGACGTCTGGTCACCCTACTCCTTTCATTCCTAATGTGGTCTCAGAATTTCGTCTAAACCAGTCAGTCAACCTGCTTGTCTTCTTCTTGAAGCCATACTCTGCACTGGGAGAAAAGAAACTACATACACTAGATGTATCTAGGGCTTTGCTTTATTATACTGCCAGGAACAAACTGTTCAGACTGTCACCATATCTATTTCTAGCCACAGCTGGGCGTTCTAAAGCTCAGGCCATTTCATCAACAAGAATATAGAAATGGATTACACAGTGTAGCTCACTGTGTTACCAACTAGCTGCTGTACTTCTCCCACTGAACATCAAGGCTCCCCCCACCACAGAATAAACATCCTCCACCTGCTTCAGGAATGTGCTAACATCAGAAGTCTGTAAGGCGGTAATGTGGAATAACCTACTGACCTTTGTCAAGCACTATACCTGCACCTTAGCTGCTAGGTCATATGCCAAGTTCAGGAGAGGAGTACTTCAATCACTGTTTGACTGATGCAGCTGAAATTCTTCATTCCCATCCTTCTGAGGTTTACTGCTTGCCAGTCACCTACAGTAGGTTTCACTCTGACTCATACTCAAAGACAAAAGCACAGTCACTTACAGTAACTGTGGTTCTATGCTGTAGTCAGTGTCAATCCCATGACCTGTCCAGTGTCCCTTCTTTTTGGAGTCTTCATCTACCCAGAGTTTAAAATTATGACGTCATTGAGGGAATGTCATAGCCACTCCACCCTTTGTGCCCTCACATGGGAACATAAGGAGGCACAGGGTGCATTTGCCGCCTCAACTGACACAGCTGTTCAAAAGACCCTAGATATTACACAAATGAGATGCATGTGATCCACACTGACTACAGCATCTTGAAGAACCACATTTATTGTGGGGTAGGTTAGCATTTTTTGGACACTTGGAGTAATTGTTACTAAAATGCAATCAAAATATAAATACTTTAAAGTGAGATATCATTGGTATTCTCTATTTCTCAAAAAGATACATCTTTTTCCAAAAGAATTTTAAAGATGTATATTTTTATAGATCTATCTTTATATTTTATATTTTATCTTTATATTTTAAAATCTTATGTCACTTAAGATTTTGCCTTGGAAAATGAAATGTATTTTCTGTTGGCTTATCCTTTGTTGTTTTTTGTTTTTGTTTTTTTATTTTATTTTTTAATTTTTTAATTTTTTTTTGTATTCACAACTACCATATTTTAAATTATCAGTGTTCTGTACTAGCCAATTTGGAATCTCAAAACATATTTGCTGGTGCATCTCAGACAATACGGATTAAACAATTTGGCAGTAAAGCATATGGAAACTTTACTTCCACCATGAAAATGTAGGTAAAATATATTCATATTTCAAAATTGATATATTAATCTAGAAAATACATACAGAAACAATTATTTGAGAGATATAAAACAATAAAGATGAAATATGGAATCAATATGTTATTGTTCAAATTTGAAATTGCATTCACTAGATAATTAAAAGGAGCTTAATCGGGTCTGACATTTAATTTCCTTATTGTCATGTCACATTTTTCCAAAAATTAAATTGACGGAAGAAAATGGTGTTTTGTCATTTTCAAAAAAGTCAAATAGAAATAGTCCTACTTTAAGCTGTTCTTTTCTTTTCAGTCAATTATGCTGCTGTTGATACAGAAGTCCTAAATAGGTTTCAAAAAAATAGAATTTTTTTGTTACATGTCAAATTGTGTCATTAATTGATAGAAGTGTACTTGCTACAGTTGTTATATCCTATGTTAACAACTGTATTGTCATTACAATTACTTGAAGGAAAAATATTTTTGTACCTTTCCTTCAGTTGAATGTCTTAAATGTCAGTAACACATTGCCCTTTTCCTCCCCTGTGGCTGTCATTTTTGAAACCTTTCTTTTATTTTAAAATACAGGCTGAACTGAAGAGTGGAATTCTGAGCTTCCTGTTAAAAACTGACACTGTTTTTACACAAGTGGCTCTCTGGGCGGGGCTGTCCTATTGTGATGGAAACTGGAAGAGAGTAGCTGTGAAGAAGGAAGGCTCAAGAGTTTCTGCAAGTATGAATGAATTGACAGAGCATGTTTTGGAACCCCGTGCTCAGCAACTGAAAGTAAACTCTCCAGTCTATGTAGGGGGAATCCCCTCTGAGCTACAGAATTTCTATAAAGAACTAGGATTAGAACCAGGTAAGGAAATCCAAGGGAAATCCAGCATTGCAGGAATAGGTGTTAGTAATTCTGTAGACAGCTGTCTTTGCTCTGAGATGGTACTAAATGTATGCACCAGTACAGTGTTAGGGGGCATTTAAACAATGTAGTATTTTTTCAAGTCTAAAGGGGAAATACAGATGTTCTCCCTACTGTTGTTATTGTCCCATGTTTCTGCTAACATTTCCATCTGTCCACCCCATCTAGCTAAACTTCTTGCTCCAAGCCTAACGTCTCAAAGGTCACTTAGATCTCACCTGCCCCTTAGCTTGCCTGCAAAGTCAAGATGTTTGTATCCTAATTTACATATCAGTTGTTCCTGATCAGAGCTGTTAGCTTAGGGTACGTCTGCCCTAGCACTTTTGTTGGTGTAACTTATATTGCTTAGGGGTGTGAAAAAACATCCCCCCCCGAGCGACACAAGTTACACTGACAGAAGCGCTGGTGTGGACAGCACTATGTCAACGGGAGATGCTCTCCTGCTGACGTTGCTACACCTGTCACTGGGGACATAAAGTGGCTACATGCGAGATCTTACAGTGGTGGGGCTGCATCGGTACAGCTGTGCCGCTGTAAGGCCTCTAGTTCAGATGTGGCCTTAGGTAGAATATGGGCTTGTCTACACGTAAAATGCTGCAGAAGCGCAGCTGCAATTCAGTGAAGACACTCCCTATACTGATGGGAGGGGTTCTCCCATTGAAGTAGGTAATCCAGCTCTCCAAGATGGCGTACTTAATTCTTCCATCAACTTAATGCTTGCTACGCTGAGGGTTAGGTCGGTTTAATTACGTTGTTCAGGGGTGTGGGTTTTTCACTAGACCTAAGTTAAGCTTGGGCTGTCTGTGCCCTTTTAGTATATTGACATCTTCAAGAGGCAAATGTTATAATTCCCTAATTTCCCTTAGCAGTACCCCAATTCTGCATGACTTGTAGGCAGACACCAGATCATAAGCCTTTGGGTAAAAGAAGTATCACCCATATAGAATCCAGTGAGGGTGCTTTATCTTGCTGTCTTCTAGGCAATAGACATAGTATAAAAATAAATCTTACAGTCTAAGTAGTGTATATATAATTATATCAATTAAATGTTATATGAACCCTAAATGATCACTCCTATTTTTGTACACTATCAAAATCCTTCCACCCTTCTGATGTCTTAAGCAGTCTTTCAGATCAGCTGCATCAGAAAAATGAGACGCGCTAACTTCAGCTGCACAGGCAGAAAAGCTAAATCTTCAAGAGAGAGATTTTCACAGCACTCCACCCACACAAGTCCCCGCCATAATCTGGAAAGATAACACACTCAACCAGTGAAACACAAGATAGGCACATTAGATCACTGGAATGCTCTCCATTGAGTAGGACACGGCTATATGTAGCAGCTACTGGGAGCTGATTAATCATTTCACAGGCATTGCTAGAGGTAGTTACAGAATTTTGTATGCAGTGAATACTTTAAGTGAGATTTTCTGGATCAGCCAGTTGTACCTGGTACAGAACAAGGAGGAGGGGGAGACAAAGGTACTTCAACTCACCTTTGTGCTCCCTACCCCCCTCCCAGTTCTGGGACAGGCTTAATCTCTAGTGTAAAACAGAGTAGCCTTTCTTTGCTCTGTTCAACTCTGAGTTATCTGTGGCCCTTGGTCAGGGACCATCTGGATGCAAAATACCTGCAACATGGCCATAAACCAACCTGCCCCCGCCCCGTGAATTTTGGCCTCTACCTTTTTTTTTCTTTTTCTTTTTTGTTTGTTTGTTTTGTTTAACAAGGTCTTTGCAAATAAACCGTTATTTATTAAGCTATTCATTATTCATAATTTATTTTAATCTATCATAAACAATCAAATGGTAGTCAGTAGATTATATGTGAATTGTCTAATATTGGTATTCAGTGTTGAACATCTCAAGTGGGGTAAATACATGTGTTGATGTTGAATATCTGTATTCAAGTAAATTAGGCAGACAGTTTTTCAAGCTTTATGAATTCACAGATATGGAAAGGTTCAAATCAACCCAAAGCACTAGGATTCACAAGTAATTAATACATGTTCTTTCTAGTATTCAGTAGCTGTAGGCATCATAATACATTATAACCTACCCCAGACCCTATGCACATCATTTTTCTGGCCCAAAAGGATTATCCATTATTCATGTCCCATTAATGCTATATTTTACCAGATGGTATCACTTCTGAGTTGATGCACTCCCAATTCCTGTAGCCAAGGGATCTATGAACAATTAATCTAGGGCCAAACATTATTAAAGGTGAGTGTCTAAAGTATATGTTTAGGCACCTAAATAAATTTGGTCTGATTTTCAGAAGTGCTGGATCCTCACTGACTTGAGATGGGAACAAGCCACCTATTTAGGTGCCCAAATGTGGATTGAAATGAGCATCTTTCAGCACCCATGTTTGAAAATATTGGTCTATATTCATATTTTTAACTTGTTTGACTTTATCCTGTTCCCAACTGTAGCCTATCATTGTGACCAATAGGAATGAGAGTATGTGACATTTTGGTGATCACGAGGAACAGTAAAGGGCTTTGTCACTGCCTGCCCTGTAAGCTCGGGGTGTGTTAATGCTGTATAGCTTTGGTTCAGATCCTTGACACCAGTAGCCTGCCCACAAGCACAAAGTCTCATCTTGCAGGATGACACCAATAGCCCATCTAGTCTCAAGTCTCCCCAGATTCGTCCTTCCTGAGTTCTTAACTACTAGGCATTTGGACTTTTCTCCTCTGATTTGTCACCCCTGAAGATGTGAAACCAGCCGCCCAGATACCAGCTTACTTTGGCCCCCATGTTCCACTCAGTTTGTACAACACAGACCTGCTTGGGGTAAAAATAAACAAAAGGTTTATTTAATAGAAAAAACACAGATTCAAAGATGAAGTGGTGAGGGAGAGCAAATGTATACAAGTTATACAGCAAATAGACATAAAGACATAACCTCGAGCTTTACACTTCCATATTGGATAAAATCCCTTTTCTAATACAAGTTACTGGCTGCCTTTGAACAGTTTCCCAGCATATCCCCTAACTATAGCAGGGATCCAGCATTTCACAGACAGCTTCCTGCCCAGAGGCTGTTCCTCAGTTTCTGGATGCAAAACCTTAGGCACAAGCTTGCTTTTAAAAGGCTTCCCACCCCCTTTCTCTCAGGGCTTATCCACACTGTAGAGACTGCAGCTGTAGGGTTCTCCCATCAGCACAGGTAATCTACCTCCCTGAGAGGCGGTATCTAGGTCAAGGGGAGAATTCTCCTGTTCATAGAATCATAGAATATCAGGGTTGGAAGGGACCTCAGAAGGTCATCTAGTCCAACCCCCTGCTCAAAGCAGGACCAATTCCCAACTAAATCATCCCAGCCAGGGCTTTGTCAAGCCAGGCCTTAAAAACCTCCAAGGAAGGAGACTCCACCACCTCCCTAGGTAAAGCATTCCAGTGCTTCACCACCCTCCTAGTGAAATAGTGTTTCCTAATATCCAACCTAGACCTCCCCCACTGCAACTTGAGACCATTGCTCCTTGTTCTGTCATCTGCCACCACTGAGAACAGCCGAACTCCATCCTCTTTGGAACCCCCCTTCAGGTAGTTGAAGGCTGCTATCAAATCCCCCCTCATTCTTCTCTTCTGGAGACTAAACAATCCCAGTTCCCTCAGCCTCTCCTCATAAGTCATGCGCTCCAGACCCCTAATCATTTTTGTTGCCCTCCGCTGGACTCTTTCCAATTTTTCCACATCCTTCTTGTAGTGTGGGGCCCAAAACTGGACACAGTACTCCAGATGAGGCCTCACCAATGTCGAATAAAGGGGAACGATCACGTCCCTCGATCTGCTGGCAATGCCCCTACTTATACAGCCCAAAATGTCGTTAGCCTTCTTGGTAGAACTGTCTACACTGGGGGTTAAGTCAGTTTAACTGTGTCACTCAGGGGTGTGGATTTTTCACACCCTTGAGCAATGTGGTTATATTGACCTAATTTCCTAGTATGGACCAGGCCTCAGTCCATGGTGACTCATGTATATTCCGCGTGTGGAAACCCCCTCTTGACTTGAGAGCTGGGATGTCTCAAAGTTTTTCCATTAACTCTAATGTCCCGTCCTTGTTATTTCCTGGACTAGACAGTAGGTAGTAACTTGGATCTGATTACGTGTAAACACCTGGCTGGGAAGTGCCTCTCCCTGTCCTGTTGTGAAGTGGAGCCGAAGTTTAGGAGCTCATTTCTCTCTATACACAAATAACCATAACCCGTATACATAGCTCATAAAGATTCTTAAGTTTAGAAAGTTACAAGCTTTAATAAAAGATTTTACTCAACACATTTTTATAGCACAATAACATTTTATAAAATAAGTTGGTTCAACTGCTTATTCTTTGGGTTTCAACCTCCCTGTTCTCCCTTTGGGGTGTCTGGACACTGATTGTCACAGAAGCATTTGTCAGAAAGAGAAAATGTGACTAAAATGGCATGTTTCTAGGTAATATTTTAGGATGCATAATCTAGAAAAAAGAACAGGAGTACTTGTGGCACCTTAGAGACTAACACATTTATTAGAGCATAAGCTTTCGTGGGCTACAGCCCACTTCTTCGGATGCATATAGAGTGAAACATATATTGAGGAGATATATATACACACATACAGAGAGCATGAACAGGTGGGAGTTGTCTTACCAACTCTGAGAGGCCAATTAAGTAAGAGAAAAACGCTTTTGAAGTGATAATCAAGATAGCTCAGTACAGACAGTTTGATAAGAAGTGTGAGAATACTTACAAGGGGAGATAGATTCAATGTTTGTAATGGCTCAGCCATTCCCAGTCCTTATTCAATCCTGAGTTGATTGTATCTAGTTTGCATATCAATTCTAGCTCTGGATCACAGAAACCCCCTTGGGAGCTGCCACCCAATGTACCAAGACTACCCCTGCTTCTGTTTTCCCTGCCAGCTCAGGACTCCAGCACCCTGTCTTGCTGAGCCAGACACTCCTGTCTGGCTCCAACACAGACCCAGGGTCTGAATCACTTGTCCCAAAGCTGCAAGTTTACCTGAAAACAGCTCACAGTAGTGTGCTTGTCTTTAGCACTCAGATGCCCAACTCCCAATGGGGTCTAAACCCAGATAAATCCATTTTACCCTGCATAAAGCTTATGCAGGGCAAACTCATAAATTGTTCGCCCTCTATAACACTGATAGAGAGATATGCACAGTTGTTTGCTCCCTCAGGTATTAATACATACTCTGAGTAAATTACTAAATAAAAAGTGATTTTATTAAATACAGACAGTAGGATTTAAGTGGTTCAAAGTAGTAACAGACAGAACAAAGTAAGTCACCAAGCAAAATAAAATAAAATGCGCAAATCTATGTCTAATCAAACTAAATACAGATAATTTCCTCACCAGTTCCAGAGCACTCCCTTTTACAGGCTAAACTCCTTTTAGCCTGGGTCCAGCAATCACTCACACCCCCTGTAGTTACTGTCCTTTGTTTCAGTCTCCTTCAAGTATCCTGGGGGGGGGGGGGTGGAGAGGCTCCTTCTTTAGCCAGCTGAAGACAAAATGGAGGGGTCTCCCACGGGTTTAAATAGACTCTTGTGGGTGGAGACCCCCCTCCTCCCTCCTATGCAAAGTCCAGCTCCAAGATGGAGTTCTGGAGTCACCTGGGCAAGTCACATGCCCCTGCATGATAATCTAGAAAGTATTGTAATGTGTGTTACTGTTTGTTTCTCTTAATGTAATTCAAATTTGAAAGTAACTGATGTTGCAAGACTTGTATTTATAATCCGCAGAATGATATATTGTCAATAATAGATCCTGGTGTGTTAATTTCACGTTTTGTGCTTTATACTATCTACTGTAAAGTACAACTTTGAATTAATTCTAATTTTCATTGTTGGGATGTACATGGGAGCCTAGTTGGCTTCAGAGACCAAATGTTGTTACCAACTGATGATTGCTCAATGGTCTATTTGACATAGGTTTCTGAGCATTGTTCAGTTCCCCATCACAAATAAGGTATCTACCTCACAAAGCCATATGACAATTGTCATTTATTACAAGCCTTGTTGGGAAGTTCAGTTAGAATCCATGAATGATTATCTCACCTGTGGAGGCAGTGTGGACAGATCAATGTGGGGATGTTTGTGGAAGCTTACACTATCATTTTCTATGCTGCAACTGTCTTAGGATAAACAAAGGACATCAGTTTCCATGGCTGTTGATTTTGCACCTCTCAACAATACTACATTCATCAAAATAATTAATTTAATAACTGGATTAAAAATGAGCTATAGGGAATACTATCTCAATGACAACTAGAGAGGAAGAGTGGTCCAGTAGTTAGGGTGCTAGCCTGGGACTTGGGAGACCTGGATTCAATTCCCTGTCTTACGGAAGACTTACTTCCTTTGTGACTCTGGGCAAGTCACTTTGGGCTTGTCTGTATGAACATTTTGCTCCCAGTAATCAGAGATGTGAATCTACCCCTCACTAGTTTGCCATGCTCCAACTGTCCATTGTGGACCCTGCTGATGCACTTTAACAGTTTGTTTAGAAGAGGACTAGATCAAAGTAGGGTCCACAATGGACAGTTAGAGTGCAGCGGGCATGTGAGGGATAGAGTCAGAACCCAGCTTGCTGTGAGCTAAATATTTGTGTATACAAGCCCTTAGTTTCTCTGTGATTAACCTCACAGGGGGGTCGAAGTAAGGAAAACATATTAAAGATTGTGAGGCATTCAGATATTATGGTAATGAAGGCCATAAAAGTACCTTAGATAGAAATATAGGATTTTCCCAAGAGCTATATTATAGTTATTGATGCATGAGAGAATGAGAAATCTATTTTTTAATTTCCAGAGTTAATTTTAAAAGTAATCAAGGTCTCTGTTCCAGTTACTATATTATTTTATATTATTCTAACTACTGGCTATTGTACCATATTCAAATCATAATTAGGGCCCTACCAAATTCTTGATCCATTTTGGTCAATTTCATGGCCATAGGATTTTAAAAATCATAAATTTAATGCTTTTAGCTATTTAAATCTGAAATTTCACAGCATTGTAATTGTAGGGGCCCTGACCCAAAAAGGAGTTGTGGGAGGGGTATCACAAGGTTATTGGGGGGGTTGTGGTACTGCTATCCTTACTTCTGTACTGCTGCTGGCGGCGGCGCTGCCTTCAGAGCTGGGCAGGTGGAGAGCGGCGGCTGCTGGCTGGGAGCCCAACTCTGAAGGCCAAACCAGCACCAGCGCAGAAGTAAGGAAGGCATGGTATGGTATTGCTACCCTTACTTCTGTGCTGCTGACTGCAGAGCTGAGTGCCTGGCCAACAGCCGCTGCTCTCTAGCCACCCAGCTCTGAAGGCAGTGCAGAAGTAAGAATGGCGATACGGCAACCCCCCTAAAATAACCTTGTGACCCCTCTGCAGCTCCCTTTTGAGTCAGGACCCCCTATTTGAGAAACATTGGTCTTCCTCCCCCCTCTCCATGAAATTGGTATAGTATAGGGTAAAACCACACAAAAGACCAAATTTCATGCGAGGGACTCCAGATTTCACAGTTCGCGATGACCATGAATTTGGTAGAGCCCTAATCATAGTACTATATTTGCATCGCCTTATGAAGAGATGCATTTCCTTTGTAAATTAAATCATAGAAATGTCAAGAAAATTGTACAACTACACTATTTTAAAATGTTCCTATTGTGAATAACTATATTTAATCAGGGCCGGCGCTTCCACTAGGTAACCCTAGGCGGTCGCCTAGGGCGGGAGGATTTGGGGGGTGGCATTTTGCCGTCCTCGGCACAAATTCGGCGGCGGGGGTCCTTCCGCTCCGGGTCTTCGGCGGAAATTTGGCGGCGGGTCCTTCACTCGCTCCGGGACCTGCCGCCGAAGTGCCCCGAAGACACGGAGCAGAAGGACCCCCGCCACCGAATGCTCAGAGGAGGAGCGCTGCCGCCTAGGGCGGCAAAAACCCTGGCACCGCTCCTGTATTTAATATATTTGTAATGTATGTAATAAGCCATATTTCTAGTGTTCAAGTCACTTACGATTTTGCCTATGATTGGGAGGTCTTGGGTTATGTTTTATGCTATGTTTGTGAATGAGGTACCAAGTATGGTCCAGTTATGACAATCTCTGTTATGCTGATGTTTCCTCTATATGCAAGTATATTTGCTGTCCATAGGCTCTTCTTAGCTCAAGTGACTAAGAATATAATGCAAATTTATGGAATATGGGAATATGAAATGCAAGGGCTGACCCCAAACTTAAAATCAATATTAGTCACTGATTTTATGTTAATACTTTTGAACATATGAACTGAAGAAGCAAAATAAAGTTTGGGGATTTTTTTTCGCAGAGAGTGGAATGTTTAATAATAAGTATATACTTCAATGTGGCAGGAATTCAACACTGGAACATTAGGAGTCCTTACCAGCTTAATATGTAAAAGGTGTGTGTGGGGGGAAATATCATTTCTCAAACATAAATTGAAAGTTAACATTTACACCCAACTCCTCTTATCACAGAAAATGTAGCATCGCAAGGAACAAAAATGATTCTTAATTAACGACTGAAGCCCTTTATGTGATACTAATCCCTTACTATTTGCTAGGTTTCGGTGGTTGCATAAAGGATGTTGAATTTACACGAGGTGCTGTCGTTAACTTGGCATCTGTGTCCAGCAGTGCTGTCAGAGTCAATCTGGACGGATGCCTATCAACTGACAGTGCTGTTAACTGCAGGGGAAATGACTCCATCCTAGTCTACCGAGGCAAAGAGCAGAGTGTTTATGAGAGTGGTCTACAGCCATTTACAGGTAACACATTGGGCCCTTAAATGAAATGCTACACTTTTATTTCATTCTGCATTAATGTGTTCTTGAGTTCACTCTTTTTTTTTTTTTAAAGAATACCTGTATAGAGTAGTTGCCTCAAATGAAGGAGGATCAGTGTCTAGTGTCTGGAGTCGTGGTCGGACAAGAGAATCAGGTAAACATAGTTTCTAAATGTATCTGTTTTATGAGTTATCTAATGTTAGGCTGTTTGCTGGAGAAAATCCCACTATGAGAATTTTAATTACCATATATACTCGTTCATAAGCTGAATATTTTTGGTAAAACAGTGACACATCAAAGAGCGGGGGTCAGCTTATAAACGGGTCTACACCAAAATCTGATGATTTTAAACTCTATGGAATCATTGAATTGAAGATCTAATACAGGGATCGGCAACCTTTGGCATGCAGCCCAGCCAGCACATCCCTCAGCCCGTGCCGCTTCCCACCACCCCCATTTGCCCCCATTGGCCTGGAACCGCGAATCACGGCCAGTGGGAGCTGCAATCGGCCAAACCTGTGGACGCGGCAGGTAAACAAACTGGCCCGGCCCACCAGGGTGCTTACCCTGGCGGGCCACGTGCCAAAAGTTCCCAATCCCTGATCTAATACATTGTCATTTTGTTTACCTAGAGCGTCTGCAGGCATGAAGCCCCTCAGCTCCCTGTGGCCGCGGTTCACCGTTCCCAGCCAATGGGAACTTCCCGCAGCTCCCATTGGCTGGGAACAGTGAACCGTGGCCACAGGGAGGTAGGGGCTCTATGCCTGCAGACGCTCCAAGTAAACAAAACGTCCCGACCTGCCAGCGGCTTACCCTGACAGTCCAGGAGCCAAAGTTTTCCAAACCCTGAAATATAGGGTCGGCTTATGAAAGGGTCATACAGTTTTTGCTATTTTTACCTATCCATTTGGGGGGATCCGTTTATAAACGAATGGGCTAATGAACAAGTATATACAGTAAATAGTAAAAATTGCAGAATATTTTAAGGGGAACCAAAAATGTTTGACATTTTGGATTAATAACATACCAATATTTTATTGTAGCTATGAAATGCACAAATAGGCATTTTTCACAATATATTTCATGGTGTTTTCTAATTATAATACACCATATTTATTATGTAAAATGAAAGATATTTAAAAGGTTGTATTGCTTTATCTTAGCATGAACATATATGAATATAAGCTACACACCCAGTTTATGTTGATATATGCAAATCTAAACCTCTAGTCAAATTACACATGTCTGCTAGAAAAAAGGCATCTGGTGATGATTGTTAAAGTGCAAGGCCACACAGGACTCACGAAAAACATTGCAAAGCAAAAATATAGTGCATAGTTGGCATTACTGTTCATGATGGGTCACACAGATGTGTGTGTTCACTCAAAAAGATTAACCTCTCCTTAAATTTCATGGAGGAAATTTGGAGGCACTTCCCTTTTTGTACAGTAGGATTTTTATACCCTGTTGAGCTAGTAATTTTCTGAAGATTCCTCACACTGTGAAATATGTGTCCATAGACTGCTATCACTATGAATTAGATCCAAATTGTACTCCAACAATTCAGAGAGTTCTACTGATAGATGATGGTCAAACAGTATTATTGTATGATCTCCCCAATTATACCAAACTCTTCTTTAAAAAAAAATACTTATAATATAATTGCATTGGAAAAGATGCTTTAAACATGTTCACCAGAGTAAATATTTGACTTTCAAATACATTGCTTATGCAGCTTAATGTCACCATTTTGTCTTCCCCCCAGAAGAAAGCATATACAGCCATTTTTATATGAATTATCTGACCACAGTAAGTTTTACCATAAATTTATATTTACAATCTGACCACAACACTGAGCAGCTACATGCTCCCAAGGGCTGGAGAATAATTGCACTATTTAATTATTTTTGAGTCAGGTTTGTTGTGTCCCTTATGAAAAGACCATCTGCTATCTTGTACCTTACTTTGCCCTGTGCTATATTTCAGAACTAATAAAATCAATATATTGCTGTAGTATTCTCAGTAACCTGAAGCTATCCTAGAGTATCACATTGTTACTTTCCATAGGCACCACAAACATTCAAACATTTTTACACTTAGCATTCCAGGGTCCTTCCCACCTCCAACAAAGGTTGCATTTATTTAATGAGTTTAAACAATAAGGTCACTACAAAGAGGATATTTGATGTAGGGAAAGCAGAGGGATCTTCATCGAGAGGCCTTAGGAGTCCACAAGCATTTACAGCAAACTCGCCATCCACCATCCTGCCGTAGTGTTCCTTGGGCCTTTCCTCTGCATCCCTTGCGCGGTCATCTGTGATGAAGTTGTTATTGGCCAGACCTTTATTTGGTATAACAATATCTAATAAATACTTAAAGGTTATGGGAAATGGGATGAATTTTTTATTAGGGATTGTATGTGTACACGAGGTTGCCTTTCAGCTTCTTTTAAACATCTTTATTCTCTTTTTTAAAAATCATCTGAAGTGATTAAAAGCAAAGGCTAATGCAAAAAGCCTCGCACAAGTTCAGTTTTTACTTCTGACAGTCGTATGCAATTATTAATTTATTTTCATATGTGGTGGGGTGGTCTGTGCCTTAAGGGTTATGGGGCCTAATGCTCAGCCCGCCCTGTCACGTGGCATTGCCCTTTTAAAAGTTTGAAAGGTCCAATTATATATACAAGTTACTCAGGAGATATTGGAAGAGAGGAAGCAATCCTGCGAGTAAGAAGTGTTTGAGAGGAAATCCCATTACTGTTTCTTTAAAGACCTGGGGCCAGGAAGCTGCAAAAAGGGGACCAGAATAAATGCTGCCTGGTCCCTTATAGCAGGGCAGACACAAGGAGATGTTGGCAGGGAAAGACTGGCCTGCTCAGCACCCTTAAGGCACAGGAAAGAAGAGTCTTCTGAAGGGAGGAGCCAGAGACTGCTAGTTGAACTGAATGTCCCCACCTGTATCTAGTAAGCTCCTGCTTATGCTTATGGCTGTCATTAATAAATTAGACCCTCAGAAAGGGGGGTGCTCTTTGATAATTATGTCTGTCTGGTCCCATTTCTAACCCGGGTAAAGAGAAGTGAGGCAGGGCTCACCTGCGACACTATGCTTGAGTGAAAGAGAGTACCCAGAGATAGTCTGGAGGTCATCACACCGTATTTTCATATGCTTTAAAAATTATTCTGAAATACTTTAATTTAGAAAATGAAACTGGAATTTTGAGAATTTGATCGCATTTGTGATGTTTAGCGGCTGATGTACCCAAGAGATAAGTGCCAAACCCCTATGTATAACAGTCTAATCCTCTTGCTTCATTCAGTTACATCATTATATTGCTTGAACTTCTTAGCTGCCTACAATCCACCTCCTTCTTATGAGTGATGTTTAATCACATTTGATACATTAAATGTTTTTGGAAAACCTGAACTAGACAAGAAAGAATGTTATGTAGATGGAGTTTTGATGGATTTGAAATATAGCTTAAACTGAATGGCTCAAGATGTGCAGTCATATTAAATCAATGCTGAAAAGTTACAACTCTAATAAATTGTATTTATGCTAATGGTTCAGTCTGATTTACTGCAGCCATTAAAAGTGAAGAATAGGGGCAATAGTCTTCTCAGAACTGCCATTTTCTCTATTTTCTATTTTATCCTTCTACAGTCCCAGAAAATGTGCCAACTCCCTCAAGAATTCACAGCATAAATGGTTACAGCATTGAGGTGACTTGGGACAAACCTGCTGGGGTCATAGGTGTAATTGAGAAGTACATTTTGAAAGCATACAATGAGGATGGTCCCAGTGTACCCATCATCAGTGCTGAGTTTACTGACACTACTATGCTCACAGGTAAATGTTGCTAACTACTAGTTTGAAGGGAGATGTAATAGAACAAGATGTATATAACTTATTTTGTCAAGCTGAAAAATATTAGTTGGGTACTGTGTAGTATATCCATCTTTGTGTGTAAATGGCCTAAATAGTGTATGTACAAATTTTAATTTACTTCAAGAGCAGTAGAAATAAAATGTGGCCCAAAAGCTTGAAGGTATTTTTACCCAAATCCATTTTTGTCATTCTATTACCATTGAGTATTCTGTGTTTGTTTGGCTGTCTTTAGTAGTTTCTCTTTCTCCCTCTTCTTGCCATTCCAGGTCCCTTAGGGGTTGATCCTGCATGGTACTGCAATCCTGTAAACACTTTAAGCATCTGAGTAACCATGATGACTTCAGTGAGACTACTCGCATGCTTAAAGTTAAGCATGTACTTAAGTGCTTTGGTAGATTGGGCTGGAGCACCCGCACTTTGCAGGGTGAGCCATTACTGGATGAAGGATTTTTTTTTTTGCCAGTGGCAGGAATAGTCTTCAGGATTGGGAGTGGGGCAGAAGCAGCTTTATTGGATGGGAATGGTTTTTTTTACAGGCTGGGGCTCTTCTCAGCAGCCTCTAAGAGGGGGGCTGGTTTCGGTGTGGGGAAAAACTCTGGAATCTTTTCTGCTACAAAATGATCACAGGAGACATGGGGACCCTCTCTCCTTGGTGGTATATGTTGGAGCTGGCTAGCTGTTTTTCCCTTTACCAGTAGAATCCCCTCTCTAAGTGGATGCCTTTCCACTGTATAGTCAGCTCTCTCCCTGGTGTTGTATGTTGAAGACGTGGTCCCTTGTGTGAGCCAAACTCCTCCATTGGCAGCAAAGACAGTATGCAACAGCTGACTCTCTGAACTATGTGGTCTGTGAAGACTCAGAAGGGCAGTAGTAAAAATCTAATTTTCCGGAGTGTAATGAATGGGATTTGTTTAAAAATTCCCTAAAATTAATTATATAATTCATCATAATTAAAAAAAGGCCAGTAACATATTGCCCAAAGCTGAAGGCTTGGTTTAGCACAGGTTTGGATGTTATGGCGCAATCTCAGGAAGTGTCTTCTCGTCGGGCAATATACTACTGCTGCTTTCCTCAAACCCAGTTAATATGTGCTTCATGTTTGTGCATAAATAAGTACGTTTTGTGTACTGTATATGTACCATATAATGTGTGTCTGTATATTTAAGAGACAATGTGCACATATTTTACTTTCTTTGAGTTGAAGTTTCATGATTACTTGTGGGTGGTGTGGTGACTATAATAGTTATTATGCTTTATGTATTTGTTTAATTAATTAACCCAATGGCTGAAAATTATCCAAGATGTAAGGTACCAAATATACTAGCAGAAATCAAGGTTCACTCACAAATGATTAATTTAGCCCTTTTTAGATTTTTCAATGAGATAATTTATTCACAATGAATAATTTTGACCAGCATTAAAAATGAATTGGTTGATTTGTTGTCCTAATGCTGTTTTAATTTTGTGTCAGATATGAAAGGGTTAACATCGTGCTGAACGGATAAGAGCTATTGATATATTACTAGTGTGATGCAGAAGTGAGAAGGCATGGTTTTATGTTACAGGGGAAATATGCATAGGGACAGTATAGGAACTGCAACTATTTTATTATAAACATATAAGTAATAAATACATACACTGAAAGCTATTAACAGTTTGCCACTTTAGGGTTCAGGTCTTTTGTGCATTATAATAGGTAGCTACTGACTACAGTAAGACATGGAAAAAAGACCATTCAGACAACTTTCACCCATGCACTGCTAATATGCTTTCACTTTTGCAAGCCTTAGAATATGAATATAAAACATTACTCTCAAGATTATGCCTGGCCCCTGTGCAGGTTCAGAAGCGGAAAAGTGCAAGGATACGCCGTAAAGGGTCTGAGCTCATAGACATTTTGCATTCACCTGAGCAACGACAGTGCAAGGAAGGCTAGTCCTGGTTATGGTGCTAGGCTAGTCTCTCTGCCTCAGTTTCCCACCTGTAAAATGGAAAAACTACTTCCCTACCTCATGGGGGGTTGTGAGGATCAATACATTAAAGACTATGAGGTGTTCAGATACCAATAAAAGGGACTATGTAAGTACTGCAGAGAGGTACTGGACAGTAGAGATGGGTCTTTGACCACTGTCCCCTCCTAACAGGTGGTGAAGTGATTGTGCTTCTCCTGCACACCCATGAGCTCCAGAAAGTATTGTGCTCTAGTGAAGCACAATGCTTCTCAGAGCTCCCATGGATACAGGGCAGTATGCAGAGATCACAACTGAGCCAAGTAACATTCTTTACATCTTTTTAAAAATACCTAATCTTGAAGTTTTCTCCTTCTGGCTGCCTTAGGAGTTCGATTGCAATGCAGTTTGCACAGCTGGGCAGGTCTGCAGGTGGCTGAAAATGTGTTAGGCAGGTGGCCACCTACTAATTTGTGAGTTAATATGGAGGAGATAGGAAGTCTCACAGGGACTGAGATTTTGCTGGCTGTTAACACAAATGACCTCAGATAGCAGCAAGCCATAAAAGCAGGTTCCACTGTATCATGAATGCACATGCTTCTTGCATAATAAATTCATTTTATTTGCAAATATTTGTATTGTTTTAAATGACTAAGGACAATTAATGTAAAGGGGCACTATCAAAATAAAACTTCTGAGTTAAAATAAATGTTATGATGATGGATGGATTGTAAAAACATAAAATTTTTCAAATCTCGTATTTTTCACTATTTATGTTCTCAGTTTACTTTTTGCACTTCACTTATCATGGACACTGAAACTAGGCTTTACCAGTTTCACCTTTTGTTTCAGATCAGTGCTGCTTTTTGGTTTTCCGGGGTGGTCATAGTGTCTTTCTTTGATATTCATAACACTATAGGGAAGTTTTTAAATTTTCAAAAAATCCTGTTTTTATTGAAATGATATTGAAAATATTTATTATTTTATCAGTAGTATAGCACCAGATTACAGACATGATACTTAGAAGACACAGAAATAAAACAAGCTCTGTACTTATAGGAACTTGCAGTTTAATTAAAATGTTTTTATGTAACTAGTTTTGTAAAAAGTGTTTTGGGGGTTTTTTTTTAAACAAAATCTAAATTTGTGGCCTACAAATAGTTTACCGTTTCCCTATAGCTCACTTCTTGTTGATTTGAATGTGTGTGCGCTTTATTAGGATATCAATAGAGAGGAGATAGAGAGTGGTTCATTACCTCACAACAGAAGGCGGTTATAATTGCAGTTATACTGCAGTCTGCTGGAAAACTGGTCTGTCATAAAAATTACAGGACTTACAACAACATTCCTGTTTACTGAAAAACAATGACTAGAGACTGATCAGGATAAGCCTGTTTACAGGATGAGTTGTTTATCTGGAGTTTGGAATCTCTGTTTGAAGAGATATTATAATGCTGCAATATAAGAAGATAAGAAAAAAGTGACTAACGGTTAAGGCCCAATTCAGCATTGCCCTGTGGCCCTCTTTTTGTTACCTTGATAGAGGCAAGGTGGCTATAGAACACATAAGGGGAACCCCACAGGAATACTTTGGATACAGCAGGAGCCCTGATGGACTCAGGGTTGCGTTAACTAGCCTTGCATTACCTCCATGACAGCCCCCAGCACCAGGGACTTTGAATGGAGGCCAGGTGTGTGGACTTATGCTTAACTGACTAGCTTAAGCAAAACATAATACCAGAAACAAGCTCCAGGGCTGGAGCACCCACGGGGAAAAATTAGTGGGTGTTCTGCACCCACTGGCAGCCAAGCTCCTCTCCCCGCCTCACCTCACCTCCGCCTCCTCCACTGAGCACGCCGTGTCCCTGCTTCTCCCCCTAGCTCCCAGTGCTTGCCGCCGCAAAACAGCTATTTCGCGGCGTAACAAGCTCTGGGAGCCAGGGGGGAGGAGTGGGAACGCGGCACGCTGAGGGGAGGAGGCGGGGCCAGGGCGGGGATTTGGGGAAGGACTCCAATAGGGGCAGGGAAGGAGTGGAGTTGGAGCAGGGACTTTGGGGAAGCAGTTGGAATGGGGACGGGGCAGGAGGGGCTGGGGTGGAGTCAGGGCGGGGCCTGTGGGAGAGGCAGGTCGAGCACCCACCAGCACCAGCAGAAGTTGGCGCCTATGTTCAGATAACCAACTTGGGATCCTGACAAGAGTTGCATGCGTCAGTTTCCCTATCCTTTTATTCATGTTCTCAAACTGTACTCATCACTGCAGCATGTGAGGGCCATGGCATCACCACAGTTGTTCATGATGATGTATGCTGGACACAGGTGCCTTCAAATCCTACTGATTTGACCCTTATTAAAACTGAATGTAAAGGTGAGCCATCATGCTGCTACTAGCTCTTTTGGCTGGAAAGGAGAGTATCAGTTTAACCGCAGGCTACCTCAGGGAAGTGTGGAGCACCACCAATAGGTAGAGCTGGGCCCATACCAAAATGCTAGATCCAAATAACCCCTAATATTTGGGGGTGGGGAATTGAACCCAGATTGTAACTCTATAGCTGGCTCTGCGGAACTGAATCAAAGCCCAAGATATGAACGTCCTTGAATTTTGAGGAAGTCCAGTTCTCAGTTTTGCAACTCCGGAACCCATCTCTGTTTTGAGGTGGTGAACCACACTCCACTCCCTCACTCTACTGCCCCCCAAAGTGTTAATTTTCTTAATAATGTAACTAACTGAATAGTTTGGTTAATCATACACATTAAATGCATTTAAATAAATGTGGTGAAATAGCTTGTATACAATGGAGAAATGCTCATCATTACAATAATGCATGTTCCTCTGCTCAACAGCTTCAGAAGGTACGATCAGACCTGTCTGGCTCTTCTTCTGTGAAAGTGCCCAGTTTGTTCTGCCTCCTGGCAGCTTCAGCAACTGGGCCTCTGAGTCACAGAGCAGAGAAGACCCTTTACATTTTCAGACATGACTCAAAATGTCTTTATCTCAAGACTTTCCTTTTAAGG